AATTTAAGTAAGTTACACATTTGTTTGTAAAAATACTGTATGTTTAGCTACTTCCTTTATCTTAGGACGAATTTCAACAAACTTAATCCTCGGCAAAAAGATATAATGGCAGAATTTAAGGCAGAGCACCCAAATTTTGGCCAAAAATACTCCTCCTAATTCTGCGCAAGGCAGGGCGACCACAAATCGACTATGGGAGGAGCTAACCAAACGTTTAAATTCTGTAGGACCACCGGTAAAGGATGCTAAGATGTGGAGGAAAGTAAGTACATCTGTAGTTTAATAGAATTTCCATAGGAGTTAATAATATGTGGCTTCTTGCAGGCTTTTGCTGATCAGAAATATCAAGCAAAGAGGAAGCTTTCCTTTAATAAGGCATCCAAGCAGCAAACTGGTGGAGGACCTTACAGTGAGAAGGTTATCACTGCCTCTGAGGAACTCATTATTGAAGCTGCCGGACTAAAGGTTTGTGTAGAGGGGAACAGGTCCGTGCGACCATTTGGGAGTACATCAACTACACAAACATCTAAAAATGTCAATGAAAGTAGTGACAGTGATTCCAGTGGCGAAGAGTCAAGCTCCTCCCATAGCTCTGTACCAGGTCCATCATCAGCAGCTTTGTCATCCTGTCAAAATGTTGCACCACGGAGCAAACCTCCAAGAAAGAAGAGTTGAAAAGATGAAAAGTTGGCATAGCTCCAACAAAATGTAAACTCTGTGTCCGAATTCCAACGTAGTCTAGATGCTAGATTAGACAGATTGCTCGAGATACAGGAGAGGCTGGTGTTGATGTACGAGCGATCGTTGGCGATAAAAGAAAAAGAGCACCGAATCCAACAGTCATCGAGGAAAATAGATTTAGAAATTAAGAAGTTAGAGCTAGAAAATTTATCGGTTAATTTAAGAGAAATAAATAATAAAAAAAAAAAAACTTTTTAATAAACAACGCTTTTATAAATGGACTAAAAAGTAGAAAATAATATTTCTCAGTCCCATAGAATTTGTTTTGATAACTTTTGATTTTGAAATTTTAGCAAAAGTCATTATAAACAATTTATGAAATTGAAAATGAAAAACGTGGAGCGCATGCAATACAAAGCATTCGATTTAATTGACAATAGTCAAACTACATAACGTAGACCTAAAATTTCTACAGCGAAAGTAGAACTTTGAAATCGATTTTAAGCGGTCGTTATTCATATACCCACATACATACATTCATATATTACTTTTCATATCAATTCAAGTGTATTACATGCGCCCCACGCTTTTCATTTTCAATTTCATAGATTGTTTATAATGACTTTTGCTAAAATTTCAAAATCAAAAGTTATCAAAACAAATTCTATGGGACTGAGAAATATTATTTTCTACTTTTTAGTCCATTTATAAAAGCGTTGTATATTAAAAAGTATTTTTTATGTTATTTATTTACTACTTTTTAGTCCTGTCTGAATAAAATTTTGCAATAGATATTAAAATAATTCAACGATATTAATAGAAAGGTGCACACACATGCATTTACATATGTATGTACATACAAACGAGCACCAATTAATTTTATTTAAAGAAATGGCGTGTCGTCTATTTCCGCTGTAGCAAACGTAGTACATAGGGCGACATCTAGATGTCATCTACCTCGCCCTATTCACTACAGCTGTCGCCGTATGCACTATGCTTTTTTATAGGAACTTTTCAAAGCTTTGCTTTGGTGTCGGACACACAACATTGAAAGTTTCTGGATCCACAACATTGAAAGTTTCTGGACTCACAACATTGCAAGTTGATAAAAGCGTTGTAAAAAGAAACATGTGACGTTTTGTACTTAAATATTTATTGAAGTACATAAATTTTTTGTTTATTTTTTTTCATGTACCTGAAGTATTCAATTTTAATTTTAGGAATAGAACTGTTTTCTTTTTCAATGCAAACTTTTGGATGCTAGCATTCATGAAGATTCATCTCTGGTGTAACTTTTATAATATTTGATTAAAACGAAGAGAATTAATTTGTGAACAAAAGTAAAAGTTATTTATTTCATTTAGGAATACAAATTAAAGGTACATATTTCAAAAGCAAGATCGTATGATTTGCAGATCATGCCTGATATTCACAGAAATATACATATGTATGTATATACTTTCTCAAATTTAGGTACGATTCGAAAGTGAATGCCTTATTTGGTCTCTTTTCGTTTGGCCAATCGAGGTGAATTGACTTGCTTCGCCTGCGTCGATTTCGGCTGCACTGTCAGATTCATAATTTAAGGATCATAATTAATTTTAAACTTAATGCACACGTTCATAATTAATTTTAAACTTAATGCACACGTTGTGTAATGCTGAGCAGACATTAGCGAATCTCGCCACTTTTGTTGTATGATATCTTCCCCTCTTGTTGTACCCTAAGATTCTCCAACGGCCTTTTAAAATACCTATGCTTCGTTCAATGATACACCTTGCTTTAGAATGAATATCATTGAACACACATTCGCTTGAACCATCCGGAGGATTTCTATAAGGTGTAATGCACCATGGCTCAATTGGGTAGCCGGAATCCCCTATTAAAATTTTTATTATTTTTAAACCAGTATGAAAGAAATTAAAGTCATGAGCATATCTAACAGCCATGCATTTTCCTGCCTGTTAAGCTCAAACCGCTCTTTCAATACTCTCCTTTGGTCTGAGTGCTTCCAAACGAAGGAGTCATGAGCCGCCCCACCGTATTGAGAGTTAATCGCCAAAATTTTGTAATTATGGTCACATATCTGACAAATTTACTATTAAGTAACTTTATTTCAACGGCATATATTGTAGCATAGCATTAATACTATGGTATCCCTTTCGGGTTAAATACATATGTTCGTCAACTGTGGGTTTCTGCAAACCAATGTGAGTTCCGTCACCGCAACCGATGACTAAGAATGGGAAACATATCCTTTAGATTACAGACATGTACAAGTATTTGTTTATATACCTCCAGGTATTCTGTATTTCTCCACAAACCACAATTTATTTTCCATTTCCATAAGAACAATCGATGCCAACTTTTACACATTCCCACTAAAAAATCGTTTCCGACACTGTGTTGGTACCCACCGCTGGCTAGAAGGGAAAGAGTGGCAGCCATTTGTAGTATTGGAGGCACCGCTTTGGCGTCCGATTGCCTTCTCTAGAACGTAAGTAAAAGCCTCTTTTGTCAAACGGAATCGTTACAAGAATCTGCAGTGAACCCTTTGTTAAAAAGCTGGGAAAATATATAAACTACATCCTTACGCTGTGCTCGGCAAGCTTAATGGATTGCTCCGATCTCTCAGCTGCCTTCGTGTGACTTTTTCATCTCCTTCACTACCGCTGGAGCTCAAATAATAAAGCAATGTCGGATACATATTTTAAGTTTTGGTTTAATTTGCATTCAATTCTTCAATATTTTGACAGTTCCACCACTATTGCGACTTAAGAATACGATCCATAGCGTCGTGGAACTTAAAAACTATTGTGAACTAAAAATAAATTACGATCCGTTCGTTTTCGTATGTGATAATCCCATTCAGCTTATACGACTGACATATCACGTAATTTTATTTCGTATGGTTTCCGATCCGTGAACGGATGTTACGATTCGTGCCCTGAGTAAAAACTATGTTCATAAACTCTATTTCGCGTTAATTGAAATCATGAAATAGTGTTCATTCATTCAGTTTCTACTCAAACGCATGAAATGATTTCATGAATTGGCCTACGCATAATGGTAGTAAATGACAGAATGAATTACAACAAACACATCCTTTTGACGTAATGCAAGCCGAAAACGTAGGATCAAATCAATCCGAAATCAAGTTGGATGTTTTGCCCACAAACGTTGCAATTTTGCGAGCAGTCTCATTGTAAAATCTCGTTTTTCCAATTTCATAGTTTCGGCTTATATTTATAAAATTCAACGAAAGCACTTACCTATTTCGGCTGAGTTATCCATTTTCGTTATTTAGTGTACAAAATAAACGCAAATTAAATGAGTTTGTACAACCTGGCCAGTAATGTAGCGATAAGTTGTACAACTTGCCAGAAAATCCAAATTTTTTGATCTTTCATAAAACCTAGACATAAATTCATTCAACAGGCCCACAAACGGTGCAATCTAGAGCTAAATAACAACAAGTTGAACCAACGGTCGCTACGTTTATGGTTTTCTTTAAGAAACATCGGGCGAAAATTTCAACCACAGTATATACAGTAATAAACCTTTTCGCAGTTTTTCACCATTTGGTCCCCGAGGTACTTTTGGGTTGTGTGCATCGTTTTCGTTTTGCGCGCACGGCAACACTTACTGTGGGGAATTTCGCCTAATGATTAGAAAAATTCTTTTCCAGGATAAAATATACATAATTATGTGTTATTTATGAACAAAGTGTAGGTTAAGTATACTATTAATCTGTAATCTATGCTGATATTCATGCTTTATGAAAAATAATATCAATTGTCGTTGGCCCCGGATCAATAAACGAATTTAACGCACAATTTATCCTGTGATAGCTGTGGTTTATTTCTAAACATAAAACGTTATTTCAATCTTAGCACATAAATACATATTTAATAAAATTGATTTGATTTACTCACTGCTGTGTGCCTTTCCGGGTGCTTGCCAACGAATGTAAAAAAATTTAACAAGAAGGACGCAATGTAAATGAAGGCGAATGAATTCGCCGCGATACAGGACACAGGGAAAACGATGAATAAGCAGAAAGGCAAACAGCGATCAGTTTACATAGTAGCCAGATTAAATTTCAAAGTGTAAAATATTCATTCAAAAGGTGGCGTTCTGGGACATCCCCGCCCCCGTGAATCATCCGATTCACCAGCTTCAACGTCCAGAACGGCTAACTTTGCAACGGCTCTTCGCTTCACCCTGGAGTTCCGCGCACATCAACATGCCGTATATCACCATCTTTGCCAGGATACCACTGCTCCACCACGCCTCGACACCATTGCCTTCTTGGAACGTTAGGGTCGCACAGGAATACTAAGTCCCCTTCCTTCAACGGTTTTGTTGGTTGACACCACAGGATACAACTGCTCCACCACGCCTCGACACCACTGCCTTCTTGGAACGTTAGGGTCACACAGGAATACTAAGTCCCCTTCCTTCAACGGTTTTGTTGGTTGACACCACTTCTCACGACGTGTTAGGGTCGGGAGATACTCCAGCACCCATCTCTTCCAGAAATGGTCTCTGAGTTGACGAGCGATACGCCACTGCTGACGTATAGCAGGGGGTTTGAATGGTATTTCGGTCACACTGGGCGTATGCGCAGCATTGGCTGACCCCAGCAGGAAATCGTTCGGCGTTAACGGCTGCTCTTGGTTGGGAGAGATGGGCAGGTGCGTGAGAGGCCGGGAGTTGACGACGTTTTCCGCCTCGAGCAGGAAGCAATTGAGTGTGTGCACACGTGGGACGACTTCTTTGAGCGTTTGACGCAACACTCGCTTAACGCACTGCACCATCCTTTCCCAGGCGCCTCCTTCAGCTGGGTTAAACGGTGAGTTAAATACCCAATCGATGCCTCGTTGCGACAATTCACCCTGCACACGCTCGCAGTCGAAAACTTCAGTAAATCTTTTGGCTTCATTATTGGCGCCAACGAAGTTTTTCCCGTTATCGGATCTCAACCTCACAGGCACTCCTCTGCGGTTAACAAAGTTGCGAAGGACGATGATGCAGGAGCCAGTGCTCAAGTCGTGTGCCATTTCCAAGTGCACTGATCGTGTGGTAAGACAGGTGAAAAGTGTCACCCACCGCTTTTCGGTGCTGCGCCATACTGTTACATTGAGGGGTCCAAAATAGTCCATGCCAGTGTATGTAAATGCGCTTACGTGAGGCGTGAGTCTATCGATGGGAAGCGGCCCCATTAGTGCCGGAACCGGTGTCGCCTTACGGAGGCGGCACACATTACAGCTGGCGATGACGTTGCGTAGGAGCGTCCTTAGCCGAGGTACCCAGTAAACGCGGCGGATGGCGCATATAGTAGCTTCAGAATTTTGATGGCCCATGAGAACGTGATGATGTGTTGTGACTAACTTCGTATACGCGTGAGTGGGTGGCAGTATTATGGGGCGCCTCGTGCAGATCGGAAGCCAGCTGGCGGCATCAATGCGGCCGCGAGCACGCAGTACGCCATCCTCGTCTAGGTATGGCAGCAATTGCAGCAACGAGCTGTGCCGCGTTATGTCTTGTCCATCGCGTATGTGCTGAATTTCTTCGGGGAAGGATTCGCCCTGAACCAGTCGGCATAGGAGCATTTTCGCCGCTTCGAGATCGCCAGCACTTAGACCGTAGGGAGTCTTAATTTGGATTCGGCGACAAGTTTTGACGAACAGTATAACCCAGGATGTAGTCATCAACAACCTGTTGTATGAAGAGAAGCGATTAAAGTTTAAGAAATTTTGGTTTACGATGGTTAACGCGTGTTGTGGTCGTAGCTCTTCATCGTTCTCTTCTGATTCGGTGGAAACTGCATATTCAGAGGGCTAGGCTTGCTCCTCTTCTTGCAGAAACGACGGACCTTGTACCCAGCGCGCTAAAACTTCAGCAATTCTGTGCTGAACAAACGGCTTATAAATACGGTGCTCGCTTCGAACCCATTTAATGACCGTCGATGAATCACACCAAAGGAATCGTTTGTCGGGTTTAAAGGAGTGTGCTTCGCATACGACTTGTTGTAGCCGCGTTCCTAAAACGGCAGCTTGCAGCTCTAAGGGCGGTATAGTAAGCGGCTTCAATGTAGCGCACTTAGATTTCGCGCAAATGAAGGCAACCTCCACCTCACCGCGAGCGTTCTTGGCTCTCCAATTGACGGCAGTAAAGGCGTTCTCGCTGACGTCAACAAATGTGTGTAGCTGTAGTGTTTCCGCCGCACCGTTGCGGAAGTAGAATCGGGGACAGGTATACCTGATTACCGATAGCAGTTGCTTCCGCCACTTTTCCCATGACGCACCAATGTTGACTGGAAGTGGCTCATCCCAGCGCGCTTCGTGTCTCCACACCTCTCGCATTAGCAGCTTCGCCGTGACAACAAAGTTACCCAGGAGCCCCAGAGGATCAAATATGGACATGACCACACTGAGGAGCTCCCTCTTCGTAGCACATCTAGTACCGCTCATCACCGCTTCACTCACGTTATTAAACTTGAGTCGAAATGTAAAGTTGTCAGTCGTTGAGTTCCAATGCAAACCCAATACCCGCTCAGTGCCCAGACCGTTCTCCGTCGAGTTCGATGTAAAATTGCGAAGCTCGAAGCCGACGCCCATGTGAATCGCTCTTACCTGTGCCCCGATGAAGCTATCTACGAAGTCGTCCACATAATGATTTTCTAAAATAGCAGTTACAGAGCGGGCTGTATAGCGGCAGTCGCTGCCGTGTTCTAACGCGTTTCGTGTTTTAACGTAGTGGGCCGCACAAGGTGAGCAAGCAGCTCCAAACGTCATCACGCGCATCTCGTACACATCGGGAGTTCAGCCAGAGTCACCGTCCCGCCATAAAAATCGCTGGGCGCGTCTATCCTCTGGGCATACAAGCACTTGGTGGAACATTTTCACGGAACCGGAAAAGAATAGACGGCAACGGTTTGTATTCTTGTGGCCCCTTAAGTAGATGACTGTTTAAGGAGATACCATTGGCCTCGGCGGCAGCGTCGAACACGATTCGCAGTTTGAACGGCTTGTTGGGGTTCACTACCGCGAAATGCGGCAAGTACCAGGTACGTGGCATCGACAAAGCGAGCTCTGACGTTGTGAGTCTGCGCGCGTAGCCCTTCTCAACGTAGCTGTCAATGATTTGCTTATAGGCGACAGCAAATCCAACATCACGACTCATTTTTCTTTCAACGCTCCTTAACCTATTGAGCGTCATTCCGTAGCTGTCTGGCAATTGATCGTCGTCGTGCTTCCATAGCAGTCCAGTTTGGAAGCGTGATCCAACACGACAGGTTGTCGACTCCAAGATGGCTCGTGCACGGATGTCGGCCTCGCTTTCGATAGGTGGCGATGGTCTCACACCAAAGCTTTCAGTCTCGAAAAAATCGGCGACCATGTTGTGAAGCGCTTCATCCCGACTGGACTTCACAAATAGGCTCGTTATAGGCGAAGGCGAGCATTTACTAACTGGACCGAACACCACCCAGCCTAGTTTCGTTTTGGCTGCAAATGGTCCGTTTTTCCTCATCGTAATGGTGGTCGATGATAAACCCAAATGGCAATTGTCTATGCCATGAACATGCAAACTGTGTGGCCGTCCTTGCAAGTCTAACTCCTTTGCAAGGCTACTATCAAGCATCGTTACAGATGAGCCCTCTTCGAGTAAAGCGTAGGTGTCGACGCGGCGTTTCTTTCCATACAACGTGACCGGCAGGATGCGATAAAGCAGCTTTTTTCTGAAGAGTTGGTAGCACAACTTAGTACTGTTGCGCCTTCATCGCCAGGCGGTTGGTGATGAGCATTGTTCGGTGGCGACGTAGACCTTGATGACGCAGAGCGGGCGGCGCTTCTGACGATGACGTGGAGGGAGCTGACAGGCGCTCTGATCGGGACTCGTGGAGCAATCTGTGATGTGACCGATTGCACCCATCGATACCACAAACCTTACGTCTTCTGCAATTGCTGGTACTGTGACCCGCATTCAGGCAGGCGGAACATAATCGCCTCGATTTAACTTCGGTCCGTCGATCGCTCACCGTTGCTTCAATTAGGCGCTTGCAGTCCGCTGGCTTGTGCTGGCCCTGGCATAACGGGCATTTTCTCGAAATCGTCTCATCCAAATGGAGTACCATGCGACGTTTGGGCTCACGAGCGGCATGTTGACATTCATCGTTAACCGTGCACATAACGTTGGCAAGTGATGTAAGCCAATCACTGAAATGTAGTGCAGTAGCTCGCATCTGCAGGGCAGTCGAGTACCTGCCCCACTCAATGCGTTTGCTCATGGATAACTTCGCGATAAGTTCATCAAGCAACATCGGATTGGAGATATGATGCTCGGCGCCAGCTGACTGCAAGAAAGCACAAATGTTGTTTACTTTGGTCGCAAACGGTATTAGCTTACTCAAAAGGTTCGCGGGAATTGGCGCTTTTTCCTTAACCTGCGCTAACTGACTACGAACCTGTTGCTCTGGCCGCCCAAACCTGAACTTCAACTGTTCAGTAATGCATCCGACATTGTTAGGGTGGATCAGCAACGATTTCACCGTCTTGCGCGCATCGCCTTTCAAACACTTTTGAAGACGCTGGTTGTTGTCAAAATTACTATACCCATATGCCGCCGTCGACTCCATAAAGGCTGCATAAAATACGGGTCAGTCTTCTGGCCTATCGCTAAAATCAGGCAAGTCTAGCAATTTCTTAGGGAAGTTAAAATTATGTGGTGAGTACTGTATGTTTGCGCAAGCCCCGTTGGCTTGAGTTGTTGGTATCGGAGCGCTCGATGACTGCGATGAAAATACATCGTTCGTGTGTAGCGCTGAAGTTCTGCGCAAATTACCAGACATTGCGCTACCAATAACGGGCTGTGGTATTAAACTGTGCAAGTTCACTGAAGTAGGCGGCGGCATAGGTGGGGCTTCAATAAAGGGCGTAGAGGTACTCGACTGTACGTTAGTTGGCAATGCGTTTGTTAGCGATGCTTCGAATTGCGTTAGCGTTGATCGCGGCGGCGCTGGCGGTGCTGGGTGCGACTGCGCGACTACGCCGCTGGCGTAAGTAACGGCAGAACTACCGTTGCTCGATAACGCTGCTCGAAGAACTTCATTTTGGGCTTCACGTTCTTGCAACTGTACCTGGGTGTCCCTCAAGTGGAGCTCCAGCATGGCTATGCGTCTCTCGATGTCTTCGAAGTTATGACTGGCAGAGCTATTTTCGGGGATTTGGCGTGACACCGGCACGGAGTCGGTGCCTGCGACCGTGTGAACGGCTGGGGCGGCTGGGGCTCCATCGTCGATAGGCATTTGGTTGGTTGTGGCCGCCCTACTATAGGCACTGGTTGGCACGTTAGAACTAGTACTTACTGCGGTGTTAAATGACGCTTCCAATATTGGCGATAATAATGCGTTGCTGTTAGTGCTGGTGTTATTCATGAGGCGGGCGCTTCTACTTGGCGGTGTCCGTTCCATGCGTGGAGGTGAAGACGGCAAAACAAATTAATGTGGCGCAAGTGGTGGGAAGTATGTGGCAGTCGAATTTTAAAATATCGCAAACGTTGTGCACATAACAAAGATTGGCGGCAAAAAAAGTTCACATTCCCAATTGCATTGAATGTAAAACGAAACCAACTGTAACGCTACGACCGCAAATAACGGGGGGCGCTGCGATGGCCGTCGCAAATGTACCGGTAGCGTAGAGCTTCGCTGCCAAACCAAAGAAACAGCATTGGCACTGCTGCTGCAATATAGCGAAATAAAGCTGTTGGCCCCGGATCAATAAACGAATTTAACGCACAATTTCTCCTGTGATAGCTGTGGTTTATTTCTAAACATAAAACGTTATTTCAATCTTAGCACATAAATACATATTTAATGAAATTGATTTGCTTTACTCACCGCTGTGTGCCTTTTCGGGTGCTTGCCAACGAATGTACAAAATTTAGAAGGACGGAATATAAATGAAGGCGAATGAGTTCGCCGCGATACAGGACACAGGGAAAACGATGAATAAGCAGAAAGGCAAAAAGCGATCAGTTTACAGAGTAGCCAAATTAAGCTTCAAAGTGTAAAATATTCATTCAATAGGTGGCGTTCTGGGACATCAATAGTTAAGTACATAATTAACGCTTGTGTTTTATAAACTGGAAAACTCAATTAGTAATTATAGCACTGAATGGAGTTTTCTTAAATGTAAGTTTAAAATTTAAAAAAAGTCCATTATAAGATTATATTTTTATGGAAAACGTAAATTTTGTGAATTTATCAAGCAAAATTCTAAATTTCCGAATATATTTAAGTCGTTATTAAAAAAGAAAAACATGGTTTGTGTAGTTATACAGACCCTAATGCCTGCCAGCGCATCCGCCCAGACAGTTCATTAAGCACACCCAAGTTTGAGTGATCTACAAGTTATAAGCGTTTTCAGCATTCAACAGTTCATTACCATGTACGATGTAATATAACAAGTTATACACTGAACTATGATAATCTGTACTAGTATCTATAATAATAGAAAATAATTTGCAATGTTTTTACACTTTTGCAATTAACTACGGTCATTATTACACAGTCATGACTTGTGCCACTCTGCCATAGTACGGTTGTTGCTCCCACAGTAATTTTGTATACAACTCTGAATGAACAAAATGCATGCTCCTTCTCATTATCAACCCTGATCAGATTTTACCCCCGAGGAGTACTCAAAAAGGTTTACTACTGTGTATACTGTGATTTCAACTGCTCCTGTAACACTACCTTATACCTATAAGTTGGCCTTGCTATCATCCTCACATATGTTCATCAGAGTATACCAGAGGTGGGCACTCACACTATCACACACATGCGCTTGGGTGCGAACCAGTGAAGTTTCCCTGCAGGGAAACCGCGAACTAGTGAATCAAATTTCTAGTTCCGTACTAGGTCTTTATCGCCAAAAAGGAACTAGTCCGATAGGAACTATATACCCACCAGTCCAAAATCGGCGAAAAGTGGTACTTTTAAGAAACTAATTTTTTCAGTTTTTTTCACTACAAATCTATATCTAAAGTGACGAATTTAGAAATGGTTCGGAACTATAGAAAAAGGGATGCAGAACGAACTAGATCCTATTTGTCGAATTTACAACTATTTCGGAACTGTCGAATAAGGGATGCAGCGGGGGGCTTGTTTACTTTACATAGATATGTGTTCGGCGGCTTTTTCGTTCAAATACGCTTCTATTCTGTGCTTCGCAGATGCTATTTCATAGTTTGGTAATAAAAAACAAAGCTTTGTGTTAACATATTAACATCTTGGGGCCATCTGGAATCTAACCAATAACAGCGAGCACCTCTGCAAAGTCAGCTACAGTAAGGTAAGTAAACGTACATTTCTTACAATCATTCAAACAAATTAAATTTCAAATTGAAAAAACGTTTCTTTGAAAATAATGTAAAATCGCACACGGAAGAACCGAAAAGATTGAAAAATCATGATACTTTTTTCTTTCGTCTGTCGATTTTAGAACTGGTTCAGAACTATAGAATTTAGGACTAGTTCGGAACTATCGAAAAAGGGATGCAGCGGGGGGCAATTGACACTTCCTAGGACATCGCCATGTTAAATTCGCCAGTTGCTTGCATGCAAAAGAGATTTATCGCGAACCAGTACTGGGTCTAAATGTACTAGAAGCGCCCCAGTTCAGAACTAGAGATTTTCCCCACAGGGTTTGCTCAACAGCCAGTGTTCGGACTTCAACACATTTGTGGAATAGGTAACACCTTTTTTTGCTAAATTACCCCTGCAAAAAACGGGACTAATCCGCGATGACTCCGGGAGCAATCGCAAAGGAGCATGCGACTAATACCACTTTTGATCTCTTTATATGGAATGAACTGATCGCTTTTGTTCGAACATGTCCTATGAAGAGACTAATTGTTCACCTTTATACCCGAACGGGTATAAAAAGCGACTAGTCACTTTTAAAAAATAAAAACAAAAATTTGCGCCAGCTGAGATTCGAACCGGGGTTCTCAGTTTTGGTAGGCGAATACTCTCCCTGTGTGCCAACGCCGCACATGAAATTTTATTGACTAAGTGCGTACATATCATTAAATCGTTAATAGTACCCGTTAGAGATGAGTTGGGGACTAATTGATCTCCAATTATACCCATAAGGGATGAGTCGAGACTAATTGACCTCCATTAGAACCCGTATGAGACTAGTTGGGAGTAATTAATGCCCAATTGTACCCGATTGAGAGTAATCTCGGAATACCCTCTTTAGAGATTAGTCGCACAATTTTTTGCTACTACTTCTAACACCGTAAGCTAAAAAACTTTCAGATCTTGAAACTTCTTTTTTTTTTTAATTTGTTCATTTGCGCATTAATGAATGGGCATTTCCTACAACAAAAAACAACATTGCTTGCTGCGACATCGACACATGTATGATATGATCGTCTTCGTGCGTCTTACGATAATTGACGATTGACTGATGCTTTGCTAGCACTTCGGCAAAACAAATCAAATCAGTTGCTGCTGAGACTTCACCACAGTATACCAGTAGAAAAGGTTTTTGTTGTTGTGGCTGTTAATTTGGTCCCCATAAAGGACTTGAGGGTTGCGAGCAACTGTTTTACCGCATTCAGGGTGCTGTGCAGCAAAATAATGTGGTGAACAATTTTAACATCGGATAAATGGCGAGAGAAATATTGTTATGCGCTTTATAAGTCAACATGAACGTAATAAAATGTTTTATACTTCAATACAACTAGTTAGCGCTATTTTTGCAATTCGAAATGATCTTAAAAATATTTGTAGTGAAATATGTACTTTATGAGTTAAATGGAAACTATCTTATATGTAAATATATATTCCGATTTACTTCAAATAAATGATGTAAAATGTTTTATATAATAATTTGATTTTAATAATAATATTTATTACTTTCATCTACATTGCTTTTATTGTAAGTTTTCACGAGTAGTTGCTGTTTTCTGCAATTGTCTCTGGCCGACTATACATGCTAAAGCTAAATAATTTCACAATTTCTGCCCTATTAAACGTTTATATTTTAATAAAATGTGATCAATTACTTAAGAATATATAATTTCCGATCAAACTATAGAACTGAATGTTTGAGAAACAATTATTTAAATCAAATGATCAATAGTAAACGCACTCGGAGCGAATTTTGGAACACGGAGCGAATTATGCATATCAACACTAAATAATTTCTAACTTTCTACCATATTATACGTTTATATTTCAATTTAATATGATTAATTACTGAATAATATATAAACTCCGATCAAACTTCACTACTGAATGCTTGACAAACCATATTTGAATCGAAATCATTTGATTTAAATCAAATGATCAACAGTAAACGCGCTCGAAGCGAATTTTGGACCATTTCAAAAAATATTTACAGAGGAAGTATATTATTTGGTAGAGATCAAAATGTATTTAACAAAGCGTGATTGAATTTGACCATGCTCTCAGAAGAACCATCCTATAAAGTCAAATTGAAAAAAATTTGTATGAATTTTGAATTGTTTGTTTATATTTTTCTACATTATAGTATCTTAAAAGAGAGCCGGATTGAGTTGTCAATAACACATTGGGCCGTATGCATAAAAACTAAGTAATTACTT